CAGAAGAATAAAGGTAAGCCCTTTAAACGGAATCATTTCATATATTTTAATTTTCCCCTGTCCAAAGGCAACCAGATCAGGGGTCAGCACTGGCTGTGCAGAGATGTTTCAGAAGGCCCTTTCCCAGGCTATGGTAGCCTCTCACTACTCAATCTGTAAATCTACTTGGAGATCTTAAGAAAGTGCCACCCATGTGGTGGAAACAGAAAACGAATCAAATGCTCTCTATGTTCAAGAGGCCAGTATAACATATTACCAGTCACATCTGACTTATTCTTTCCATAAGAAGATGTATTCATGGAACTGTAACTGCTCAGGTACCCAATTTTGGTAATTTCTTCATTCACAAATCTCCTGGATGATAGGTAAATATGCAGAGTGTTCTTGGATTTGAGCTGGTGATTTGAACTTCAGCTTGCTAAAGAATCATGCAAGGTGACGTATAAGGCAGAGGATGTGAACTTCTTTGCTGTTATATATGTGTAACTGAGAAGCCAGAACTCAAATAAATGAATGGCTCCCTTTATAGCCTGCTCCTGGGAAGCCAAGACCATGGCTCTCTTTTGCCAGGACTAGAAGTGAGCAGAGTGATTGCCTAATCAGGGAAAAGTTGATGGGAGGTGAGTGAAGTCCCGTGTTCCTGCCCTAATTGCTCAATAGGCTTGTTTAAAACAGGCTAACTAGGCACAGGCCGGAAATGATGGGGGCAAGAGACCACTTCTCCCCAAATATTATTGGGCAGCTGCCAAAGACAGTTAAAATTAAATAAAACTGTTCAAACTTCTAACGCCATGAAAAACAAGATTGACGTGTTGGGGCTCCCAGTTTTAGCTATAACAAGCTAATTATAACACAACTTCTTGTTATGGATGAGGGACCATTTGTACTTCCCATGTTATCTCACCTTGGAATCTACAAAGTAATACAGGTAGTCTGTTATTATGAGGAAAGGTTAAACCTGGCAGTGATCTCAGTCACTGAAGGAAACAGCTGTCCCACGGTACCTGAGATTTTTGTCATACATCTTGGGGCCCGGTCTTCTTAAACTTCCACCAGCATTGATTTTTACTGGCAAGTTTTCTCCCCACTGGCGCTGCTTACATGGCTTTAGCCGCCCACAGATCTGATGTCACAGCGCAACTCTGTCCTCTTGCCAAGAGTCTGCACTGCGGGCCAACATCCCTGACGAGAATCTCCCCCTGCAACAGTCTCCAGAGGTTACCCACGTGAAAAATCACTCCCTTGGAAAAGCATGCAGTGTGCTTGGCTTTTAAACAATGGCTTAGTCACAAACTGTGTGACAGCTCTACCTTGAGTAACCCCTTTGGGAACTCAGAAGAGCTAGGGTTGCATTTGGACTCTGTAACTACAGCAACATTATTTTTTTCCTGGTTCAAACAATGATTTTGTATTTGCTGAGTGGAGTTTTCCCACCAGTTTTTTGTTTTTTGGTTTTTTTTTTTTTGGTACCTGGGATCAAATTAGGGTCCTTGTACTTTCAAGGTAGGTGGCAGAACCACTGAGCTAAAACCCAGGCTTCCCACCAATTCTTCCATCAGCTCAAAGGAAACATGGGGTATGGCCCACAGGAAAGATCATCATCATGGTAATAGAGGACTTTTCTTTTTCTTCCTTTCTATTTATTTATTTATGCAGTGTTGGGGATTGAACCTAAGGTCTTAATACTGAACTAAACCCCCAGTCCATTTGATTTTTTATTTTGAGACAGTGTCTTGATAAGAGTGCTAAGTTGCCCAGGGTGGGCTTGAATTTGCGATCCTCTTGCCTCAGCCTCCCAGAGTACTTGGTTTACACTTTTGCACTATCAGAACTAATTTGTAGGACCTTGTTTGTGGACTAAGTATGTGATATACATTGTGCTAAGCAATTTACAGTATACTTTCCGGTCTAATTTATTCTTTATGACCACTCCACGAGGAGGCCATTATTATTATTTCCATTTTATTGTTGAGTACACTGAGACTGAAAGGTTAAGGAAACCCACCCAATGTTACTTAGCTTTTGGAAGGGGCAAAGACAGGATTCTAAACATGGTCAGCCTGAGTCCACATCCCTATCTCCTTACATGTTCCCATAGATAAGCCCTTTGTCCTTGGATCTTGTGGGGAATCCTGGAAGAGAAGAACGGGAATGCCACACACACACACACACACACACACACACACACACACGTGCATACGTACATTCCAGAGTCTGGCTTTGCTCCCAGTCAGACGTGGGCTTAGCGTTTGCAGAGCTGACTGGGGAGGTCTCTGCCTGCCTATGACATCAAATCTCTCCAAAAGACCGCCTTTTCCCTAACACCTCACACAGTGGGCAGTGGACCCAGCATGTTGTTTTGTTCAGGCTACTTCCAGAATAACTCTTTGCCTCTACCCCAGCCACTCTCCAGAAGGGAGGCCAAGCAAGTTCCCTGAAAGGCAGGGACACTGGAGGTGTGTGTGGCAGGCTATGAGACCTGATTTCCATCTTGTTCTCATTTTACGTGGAGGTTTGATAAGAGGCCTTGCTTGGAGGCAGCTGTAGCTCTGTTTTATAGGGGAACCTTCGAGGCTGGTTCCCTTTGTCTGCTAAGTCTTCCCTTCCCTCATTTGCCGTGTAGGATGGGCCCTTCTTACCAAATTCCTCTCTGTAGTACATAGTGCCAACGAGATCCTAGCCTAGGTTTAGTGAATTTTCAAAGTATTCTGCTCCCCAACATCAAGAAAATAGGAAAAGTAGTCACTTGCATAGAATTATTTTGAGAACTCGAAACTAAAATATACAGAATAAAAGCTCCAAAATTACCTTTCAGCAAGGCCTTCTAAAATGACAGTGCAAAGCCGGGCATGGTGGCACACCTGTAATCCCAGCACTTGGGAGGCTGAGGTAGGAGGATTGCTGTGAGTTCCAGACCAGCCTGGGCTACATAGTGAGTTCCAGGTCAGTGTCAACTATATAGTGAGACCCTGTCTCAAAAAACAAAAAACAAAACAAAACAATAAAATGACAATGCAGAGAAATGTTCTTTGTAAAATAACTGCATTCTGAAAAGTCATGATGAAAGTCTTCTGTTCTCTTAAAGGATTTGGAATTCTACCCAAGGGGACATGAGGCATCACTGGAAAGATGCATCTAGAATGCCAGAGAGTAGTCTTTTGGATTTATTCCAGGGTCTGCTCAGTTGTCTTCAGGTTCAAGTATGATAGGAGAAATGGGCAAAAGAACTTACTTTTGAAGGCCCTTTTGACAAAAATTGAATGATTTTCTTCTAGAAGTTAAAATGATGATAGGAATTCTGCTACTGAATTTCCTCTATGGGTGTCCCTTTAAGGAATATTCTGCAAGTGGTGGCACATTAGAGAACCCCAGGGCCCTGGGAGACTGAGGCAGAAGGTTGGCAACTTCAAGTCCATCCTGGACAATGCAGAGACTTAGCAAGACCCTGTCTTAAAAATAAAAAATAAAAAAGACTGAGGACATATCTCAGGCCCTGGATTTAGTCTTCCAGTACTGAAAGAAAAAAAAATCTGGAAGATGTTAAGGTTATCCAGTTATTTGCCAAAATCAAGCAATGCCTCTCTGAGGAACTTCCTTAGATATGGTTTCAGATATATCTGAGATATGGTCTCAGATATAGCTGTTTGCTGTTCACTCAGTGGGCTCATCTGTGAAGGAAAAGTAGACAAAGATGAAAGTCACAAATGGGTTCAAATAAGGGATGTCGTTACAGACAATAACCTTCCTAGTGTGCTTTGGGTCTGGGCTAATTGATATATGGAGGGGATATTTTAGCCTGAGATTCTGCTGAGTTCTAATTTTTCCAGCAAGGCAACCCTTAAATTAGAAGGAATTATTGGTCTGGGGCTGGGGGCAAGGCAGTTTAAAAGTTCAACAGAAACCTAACTGGGAGAAAAGGGCAATTTGTACTCCTGGCTAGAATATGTATTGGTACCTCATATCTCCTACCTAAAAGTGAGCAAAATGGAACAAAATGGGTTATGAGAATTGGCGAATCCAGTAAATTTCCTTCCCTCCTGAAAGGGGGTTCTCGTGCCCCTTCGGGTGCCCCTTCCCAATTAGGCCACTCATGCACCGAGCTCACGCACCGAGAGGTCCGGCAGGAGATCTTTATTGTAGGGAGGCGAGCAGGAGGCAGGAAGGCAGAGAGAGAGAGAGAGAGAGAGAGAGAGAGGGGAGGAAGAAGAAGCAGAAGGAGAGAGAAGAACAAAGAAAGGAAGGCCCTTTAATCAGTTTTGGGGTGGGCTATTGCTTATTTATGAGGAGTGAGCTACTTTTAACCTATCACAGGCCAGATTGCTTTTATGGGCCCAGTCCTGCAGACACAGGTTT